CTGTCTAGTCCCTCTGCAGATAGGGAACGCTGAGGATTTGTAGCCTTTGATGGAGACTTGGGCCGAGGGATTAGCACAGGGGTGGGCAAACGTTTTGACTTGAGGGCCGCAATGGGTTCATATATTGGACCCGGGGGCCGGACCAAGAGTAGATGAATGATGTGTATGTGTCATCCATAGTAAGTATAGTAATATTCCCCCATAGTAAGCATAGTAATTAATCCCCCATAGAGTAATTCATCCCCCATAGAGTAATTCAGTCCCCCATAGTAATTCAGTCCCCCATAGTAATTCAGTCCCCAAGTCCCCCCTGTGTCAATTCACTTACCTTTGCTCCGCGCGTTCCTCTCGCCGTGTTCCCGGGCCGTTCCGGTGTAGCATGAAAATCTGTCTCCTATGAGGATCTGTCCCCCTCGACGTATCTGCGCATGTGCCAGTTTCAGGCATTAGCAGCCGATCGGCGATCTCCGGCACATGCGCAGACACGTCGAGGGGGACAGATCCTCATAGGAGACAGATTTTCATGCTACACCGGTCTTCAGGGCGGAATGTGAGAGGAGCCTAGCTCCGCGGGCCGGATTAAAAGGTCCGCCGGGCCGTAGTTTGCCCATTGCTGGATTAGCATATAGCGAATGTAAGAGCAAGAAACATTGGGCTAAAGCTAAACGCCTGCAGGGTAGTAAATAAATATTTCCACATCAGACTATCGAAGGCCTTATGAAGGTCCAGAGAAAGAAGCAAGTGTGTCCTAGAGAGGAGCATCCCAATTGGAACGGGCAGCTGAAAGGGTAATAGATCTACGAATCTGGTCCAAAGTTTGACGACCAGATAAATCCAGACATCTTTATAAATATATTGTGCCAGAAAGGAGTTAAGGAGTACAGCTAGGAGTTTCGTTAATTTTCAGGTCGCAATTAATGAAAATCGGGCAATGATTATGAAAATCAGTGGAATCTATTGGGTTTAAGAATGACATTAATACATGCCTTACTCTCATCTAAAGGGACCACACCCTCCTGCAATGAAATACAGTGTCAAATGAGTAAGTACATGTTCACAAAAAGATTAATACTGGTTGTGGAGGCAGTCAGGGCCCAGGGATTGGTGAGGCAGTCAGGGCCCAGGGATTTATGTAACTGTAGAAATGTAATAACTTTTAGGAGCTCCTCAGAAGTAATGGGTAGTTCCATAAGCTCTTTATGGGCTTCAGTAAGGGAAGTGATAGGCAAGGACTCTAAAAAGGATCGACTAGAAGAGGGTGCTGTTGGCCATGGTGGACCATATAGAAAAGCATAAAAAAAAAAAAAAAATCATAAAAACTCCCGAAGGATCTTGCTTGATAGTACCGCCCTGTCTGCCAGAGTTTAGGTAGTGCTGAATGAGTAAATTTGGGGATAAGCTTATGTGCAAGAGAACCCGGTCTATCCCTCCATGTGAAATATCGGATTTATCAAACGCAGTTTCTCCGCCTTTGTGGTGAAGCAAAGGTTAAGCTCCAGCCGAGCATGTTCCACCTTAGTTAAAAGATCTGAGGTCTGGGCAATTTTATGTTGGGCAGCCAACTATTCATATTCTCTAGATTTGGTAGAATCAACTTTTTTCGCTGGATTTATTTTTTTTTAAATTCTGCAACAGGATTCATCACTTAAGGACTTTTTAATAGCCAGTGTGGTTTAACCATTTTAACCAGCAAATTAGAGCATTAAAAGTATAGGGTTGTGGTCCGACCAAGGTGTTGATATAATTTTAGCTGAACGTAACTTGGCGATCATGTCCGAGGGGGAGGAAAACATGGTCTATACGAGAATAAATGACTGAGCCCTTGAAAAGTGGGAGTAGTCTCTAGAGGGGAGAATGGCCTCCCTACATGTGTTAATAAGGTCATAGCAATATAAAAGACTTAGAAGGAAATTGAAGTTTAATTACATGGGATTTAGCGAGTATATGGTTTAAAGCCAGATTGGAGTCCCCTGCTAAAATCACATCACCCTCTAGTTCTTTAAAACAGACTTTAAAGAGAATGGAAAAAAAAAGGCCACCTGGTTCATATTGAGGGCATAGTAAATAAGACCCCATATTACCACCTAAAATGACCCTTTACCAGAAGGTATCATCCCTCCCTATCCCTTAGAACTTGAGTTTCAGTAAATGATAGAGTTTGAGAAAAAAAAAAAAAAAAAAAAAAAAAAAGGAGGAGGGGGTGGCACTCTGCTTTATAGGTATTGGCAAAAAAAAAAAAAAAAAAAAGTCAGAAAATCCCTATGATTATATCTGGGAGTAAAGGAAGGGGCAAAATGAATTTCCTGAAGGCCACTATATGTGATCCCAGAGACTTCTAACGGGAGAATATTTTGAGTCGCTTAGAAAGGGAGCCCAACCCTTGGACTTTATGAGACGGCAAAATTGGATCATGGCAGAACATTAGTTTTTGGGTAGAGATGGGAAGCAAGTGGCGAGGTCACTATCAAACTCACCCATCCACAGAGTCAATTATCCCGAGGCAGGACAAAAATTTCCAGGCTGACCCTCAGACAAGTAAAAAAAGTTAGGAAATAGGGGAAAAAAAAAAAAATTATAAAGGAACCAAGGATGCCAAGGCCAAAGAAAGGTCCGCATCCAACAGAAGATTGATTAACAATATGCAACGTAATAACAAAAATACCAATATCCTAGGTCAAGGACCGAAAGTCTCCACAATGTCAAACAATGGGGAGAGTCTTAACTAGGGAGCGTGCATAGACTTTTCCCGACACCCCCAGAGTCCACATGCAACATCCCCAAAACTTTTAAAGCCACCAGAGCTTTTTACCAAAATATATAAACAAGAATCATAAACCAGTTTGCGCACAGAGGCCAATTCCCCACAGTGGGGCCACTGAGAGGCCTCCGGTAGAATTTAAACATTAATAAACCAAATCTTTAAGGCACCTGGTGTGGCGTTACTGCAGCGGATTTCTTCCTGGAGGCTGGAGACCACAGAGGTGCTAGTGTGTGTGTGTGGGGGGGGCCCTTAGGTTTAGGCAGGTTCAGGGAAGAGGGACCAAGATAAAACCCAAATTCAACAGAATTCTTTCCCCCTCAGAGAACGTAGAGAAGGAGTAAGATTTGCCATTATAAAGAAATTGCAGACGAAACAGATAGTTCCATCAATAGTGAATATCCCTCTGGATCAACGGTGAGAGTAGTGGTTTGAAGGCCCTTCTGTTTTGGATGTAGCCTGAGAGATGTCTGCAAAGACTAATCTGGTATCCATCAATTTCTAGATCTGGATGTTCCCTAGCATAACATCACTGACAGACCCTGAAAAAATGAGGCTTCACTATTTTGTCCCGAGGAGGGTCGTCCGGCCACAAAGGGAACAAAGCCCTGTCGATTTGATCTATTTCAAATGAATGTCATCGTCGGAACCGCTGCATGGATGAAGGAGTGGGCAATGGGTTCAATATAATTTACCCTTTCAGGGAGCCCTCTAATTCTGAAATTGCCCCGCTTGGCACACGTCTCCAGATCATCTATTTTATTGTAAGTCTCATTTAAACGATCCTGTAAGTCGGCAATCATGATAGATTTTTGAGACACTCTGGACCATCAACTTTAGAGATTCAATTTTCTTGAGGCGATCACCCAATTGAGGCCAATTTAGTGGTAGCTTTATCAAATTCCCACTGCAATAAAATCAGCAAAACGTGCAATAAGTATGGAATCCCCGGAATAATGTGGAGGTGCAGGAGGAAGGGCAAGAGAGGCCTCTAGATCATCATATGCGGCATTGTGGCTGCTTGTTTGACTAATAAAAATATCCACCATTTCCCTGTCTTGTAGGTAGGAAGATTGGGAATCATGGCCCGGAGAGAGGCTTGCAGCCTGCAAGGGAGACCTGGGAGGACTAGAAAGAGCCAGGAGGTGCAGAAGAATCACTTACATGAGCCATGGCTGCAGAGGAGCGGTCATCCTGGGTCAGATGGAGAAGGTGCAGTCCCTTGCGAGCACCACTGTGATCCTGCAGTAGCAGAAGAGGCCTTGGAGCTTAGAACCATCTTGCCTCCCCTGCCAGCTTTAAATGCAGTGCGGGGTCCGCCCACGGACCTTCCGGCCGGTCGGGTGGGCATGGAGAGAGCCCCCACCGTCTTAGCCAGGGGCTCGAGTGTGCCTTGGGTGCAGGTGACCTGGGGCCGATAAAGTTCGCCCTTGAAGAGCTGGGATCATGCGGAGCAGTCAGCAGGATATCCGCTCCAGCCACTTCTCTCTATTAGTCCTTTTACCACACACAGGCCATTCTACCTGGGTCACTGATCAAAGGTTCTCAACTGTTTTAGTGAAATGAAACTTAAAATGTTTTTCCTAAAATGTTTTTATCTGCCAATCTGTACTCCACTAGGGCATAATCAGTTTTCTTTAACTTTCAAAAAGGGGTACCACAAAAGGGAAAAAAAAAAAAAAAAAAAAAAAAAAGTCACTAGCCAGATTGAGCCACACAATTAAAATAAAATAGGGTACTAGATTATGCAGCCATACAAGCCACAACTGCTTAAAAAAGCCACATGGGAGGCCATCGCCTTTACTAGACCTGGCAGGACTCAGGATGTGTTCCTTTGCTGCATTCAATTCTAGTAAATCAAGGCACTTACAATATACATAGATGCCACATGTTTATACTTAATCTTCAGTACAAAATTGCTGCAATAACATCCAAACACTCACTCAGATGGCTTTTCAGCAAAAATTTTACATTCTGGCAGATTTTTAGGGTACTGTTGTACAGCCAAATGCATACATTGGGCAGTTGTATAGTGCTATTTAGTGCCTTTATTTCCACTTTAACATTGATATTGAAATATAATTTTCAGACACCCAAGAACAAAGTTTTTAATCAGTCATCTGCCATGAAATTTGCACTTCACTACACTGTACTAAACAGAAAAACACAAAAGCAGTTTTTGTGGCCATCAGAACTAGTGGCATATGTAAACAGTCCTGGCTAGGGTCTAAAGATTACTTACCAGTATGTTAAGTTCTTGGCTGTGCATTAGTTTCACTATTTGGTCTACAACTCCTGCTGACACAACAACATCAATCCTATCATTTGCACCATCTGTGAGATAGGACATTGCCCAACATGTATCAGACAAGAGATCTTTGTCCTCATGGTAGAGAAGCTGTGTTAGCACTGGCAACATTTGCTTAACAGCCTTAATGGGTGGGTAGGGGTTTTTATTGCGACAAAGGTTCGACAGGGTCCATGTAATGTTCCGGAGAAAACCAATCTAAAAAAATATACAAAAAAAAAATCTGCATAATTGCATGTTTAAAACAAAAAGGAATTTAATGCATAGATCAGCTTGGCATGAAGCAGGAACTTTTGGGCTGAATTCAATCATTTTCCTATAAACCGTGATTTTATATAGCATATAAGTGAAGGAAATTAACAGTTTAAAAGTTTCAAAATGCCCAGTACAAAAATTCTGCAATTTTATATGTCAAGTCCTAAAATCTCTAGACCCCTTTAAAATTTAAACTTAACCTTTCGTAAATTCCCCTCAACCTATATCGAGATGCAAGCTGATAAAAAAGGAGGATATGAAAGATTAATGCCCATTACCAATATCATGGAATATTGGCTAGCTGAGCACTTCCATTGTGAAATGCATAGGATTCTGTTGCAGCTATGATGTACTTACCAAGAGAAAACGATCTGCAATTTCTTTGTACACGTTTTTGGCAACTCACAATGACATCTAAAGCCTGCCCAATTGCTTTTACTGGAAAGTACAGTACTGTGCAGACAGAAATGAAACTCTCCATCCTTATGGGCCATGCAGACAGCAGTTCCAGCAGCAGCAACATTATAGGTCATTATAAATGTAGCAATTTAACTTTATGAATTGATTTTTTTCAACTGCTAGTAAGGTAGCAGCAATATTTGGCCCTTCCAAGTGTTAAATAAGCAAATATCAAAATTATACAAAATTGCTATTGCTATAAAATGGTCAGTGAGATCTGCAGCCAGCCCATTTGGCAAGCACGTCCACTGACCGCTCAGAAAGCAAAGACCATTTTGGCAGCCAATGCGATAAGTTCAAAAAACCAAATTACATTTTGTTTAGAGAGAATGCCAAGTCAGTCTGGCTACCAAGGCAAACATTCACCAACTACTAGAGCTCACCAACAGCAATACAATAGAAGCTTTCAAAAAAGTTGAAAAAAAAGCAAGAAAATTATGTACCGGTGTCTGTGGTGTTACCAATGCTAAAAGTGGTGAAACCACATTACAGCTGATCAGTATGTCTCTGTAGATTGGACCATCACCTGGAAAGAAAATTTACATGGTTTTTAAATCAAATACCAAAGTTTGTCAGCATTACACTATACTACAGTGTCAGACAACTGATTCACAACTACACTGCCATAGATGCTGGGATTTGTAATGTCACAGCAGTGGAGATCCACTCATTACACTTCACTACAGTTTGTAAAGGCACTAAAAAAAAACACAAAAAACACAAAAAACCCCCACACACCTATGCTCCAGCATCCTCACAGGCTGAGACCTCACACCTTTAATCACATGCCTGTGGCCTTAAAGCCAGGTGTAAGAACTGGAGTCCCCTACCTGAGAAGCACTGTGCCCTGGTTCCAGGGCCCAGAGCTTTTTATGGTAACTGAAGATTAGAGATGGTGTGTATACACCATTTAATGTGTTTTTGTGTGCTAAAACAGTCGCACACAGTCAACATTGAGTTTAGTTTTTTTTTTTTTTTTAAACAGCAATTTGTGGAAGATTGGGTAAAAAGATGCACCAGTAAATAGTGTAAATTGTACGGCTTGTAATGTTCAGGGTAAACAAGATCCCAGTTATTTTACAAGGACTCATTGAATATGCAGCTAATACTGCCAACGTTACCTCTATATTTGATTCCTTTAATACATTTTATTTACCTCCAAGGGTTGATATACATTTTCTGCTCAGCATACCTACTAATCAGTACCAAAGTTGTCCAAAATTACTAGAGTGGGGCTTATGTGCAATAAGGTTCAATACAGATTTTAATTTAGAGGATAGGGCATTGACCATTTTATAGATGAGCTGTAACCTATGAGACCCCTAGTAGATGTTCAAGATTATAGAAGAAATTGGGTTTACATCTTTTAGGATTATTTTGGTACAGCATTAAAACCTCACTTGCCAGGTTGCTTGAAAGAGAACCTTTGCATACATCTTTCTAGCTACAAGCTTCTTACTGAAAAGCAGAGTCTCAATCACCTTCTCAGAGCACCCTCTTTAAGGATCTCCCTCTCAAGAGCCAGGCAAAAAAGTTCCAGATTCTGGTATAGGACTGGCCCCTGCAAGAGTAGATCCCACCTGACTGGAAGACGTTGTAGGGCAGACACCGACCACCTCTTTAAAAAGGTGACAAACCAGGCTCATCTTGGCCACTATAGGGCCAGCAAAATCAAGCAATCGCTTGACCGGCTCAACTTCTGCAGTACTCTAGGAGGGGGGAAAAAAATGCATATGCCAGACCAAAGTCCCAGTCTTGGGACAAAGCGTCCACCCGCCCTGACCCCTGTTCCAGGGTCAGAGAAAAACACCTGTTTCTCCTGCAGGCAAAAAGGTCTATTTTCGGGTTGCCAAGAACTTAAGTTAGCTAAAAAAAGAAAAACAAAAAAAAAAAAAAAAAGGAAGAAGACCTTGGCGTTTAGTTCCCACTCCCCCTGACAGATCAACTGTCAGCTGAGAATTTGCTTCTGTGTTGGTAAACCCCTTTATGTGGACCGCCAACACAGACAGGACCCCGTTCTCTGCCCATTCCAGAACCTCCTGGGCAAGGTCCAAGAGCTTCCAGGATCTGGTGCCCCCATGATTCAGGTATTCCACCATTGACATTGTCTGACAGAACCTGGACTTAAATTTCCCAAAATCCTGTCCTCGAAGGTCTTCAAAGCCTGACCCATGGCAAGAAGCTCCCTGTAATTGGAAGTCTCCCTTAGGAGTGGCTCCCATGAGTCCTGGGCTTGCTGGTCCACTATGTGGGTCCCCCAGCCCCAAGCTCTGGCGTCAGTCACCCTGACTGGGTCCCACTGCACCCAAGGTCTCCCACCAGATTGTCCAACCTTAGCCACCATCTCAGCAAAGTCCTTACACTATGAAAATCAAAACTCTTCCGTACAGTGTCTCCCTCTTCCTGTCCCAAGAGGAAAGCAGGGAAAATTAAGTTCCCTGCAATGTAAAATTTCACCCACTCAACAGCCAGGATACAGGCTGTCATGAGTCCTAGGACTCACAAATTGCCTCCTAGAACACACTGATAATCTTACCAACCCAGAGACCACTCCCACTACAGTCTGTCTTTCCTTGGGGTAAGAAGAGCCTCTGGACTCAAGTCCAGGACATCACCTAAGAACACCTTTGTCTGGGATGCAGTTAATGAGGACTTCTCCCGATTGACAATCCATCCCAGGGTGTAAATCACCCTTTTTAAGTCTCTTGAGAATTTATGTGAGTGGCTGTAGATAAACAAGTAGTTTAGGTATGGAGGTGAAGGTGAACAACCACCTCAGCAAGGGCTTTGGTAAATCTTCTCGGACTGGCTGCCAGCCCAAAACTGCCAATGTTTGACCTAGTCTTGTGAGGATGGCAAACAATGCGGAACGGTGTTCCACAGAAACAGGGAATGTGGAGGTAGGCATCCCTGGAGGTCCACAGTGGCCATAAAGACACACTTGAGCAGGTGTTTGTATACACTGTAGATACTTTCCATACGGACCTTTTTGTCCGCAGGAACCTGTTTAACCTTCATAGGTTTAGGATAAAGGATAATTTTCCAGCGTGTTTTGGGACCACAAAAATGTGAGACAGCTGCTCCACTGGGACAATTACCTCTTGCGCTGCTAGCCCTGACCAGTCCCAGGAGACCCCCAGCTTTGAGTTTGAGGGGGGGGGGGGGGGCTAGGCAAACACCAATACCCCTCCCTTAGTTGCAGGATGTACAGGCTCTCTGAAATCTTCCTCCACTGCGGGAGGAACCTGGGCAGCCTCTCTCACACCCCGAGATGGTCATTTGGGTGTCCTTACTGGTGGGTTTTGGGCCAGCAAAAAAGGGAAGTCCCTTTTGTCTGCCCTTGTTAACCAATTTCATGGTCAGGTCCTTCCTGGGTCTGTTGGCTCTGATTGGGGGGAGGAGGAAAAAAAAAAAAAAAAAAAAAAAAAACAAAAAACCACCACACTTCTTCCCCCTATCTTTTAGTCCCGACAGGGAGCCTTTCCCCCCTCAGCCGACCTGGATAACACCAGGTCCAACCCTGAACCAAAACAGCAAGGAGACCTCAAAGGCCAGGCCACAAAGTTGGGATCTGGAAGTCTGATCCCCTTCCCAAGCTCTGACCCAAAACTGCCCTCCTAGCTGAAGAACTGACTGACTCAGCATCTGCCAAGTAGGCGACTGCCTTACTTACCTCTTCAAGAAACCAACACCTTTCTGAGTCTCCCCCTTTTTCTTGGTACCCCACAAGACATTGTTTATCATTATGCATCCACATGCTATGATGGGGCCATTGTGGTTGCATTGGTGTCCCAGGCTCTATGTAACTGTCTCAGACCTACGGTCCTCATCTGCTCTCCAATGTTACCCGCGTCCTCAAAGGACAGGTCTGACTTTTTAGATGCTTGTGATAAAAGCATCCGATTTTGGAATTATGAAGAACTTCTCTTCAAAAGGCTATTGCAGTTTCCAGGTTTTGGGTTTTAGAACCTTTCAGGGTCCTTCCATTCTGTCAAATATCCCTGAGGGTTTGATGCATGGGCAACACCCTAGACTGAGGGCTGACGCCTGAGTTGAAGGATGTGGGATGTCTTCAGAGGTATAGATGGCCCTCAGGAGACCCTCCATATTCTCTACCGAAAATGGGTCTCTACCTGGTCTGGATTCCTCACTAGCCTCAAAAGTACTCCCCCTTTAAGGAACTTTGATCCAAAACATCTGCCTCCTCCAGTTCTTACTCAGTAAACAGGAAGGTCCCAAATTTATCCCACCCCCCCACAACGAAGGGTTCCGGTCCCCAAAGCACCAGAACACCCTTACCCTGTTTTCCCAGCCTTAAAGGTAATAAAACAAAGGTTCTGCTGCACAGGAAAAACAATGAGGGTAAGAGTGGGGAATTTAAACGCTGTCTTTTTGATTGTGTTTCCTCTCAGGTGGAGCTAGTAATTTCTCAGGTGTGCCATCCTGGAAGAGGACTGGGGAAAAAAAAAAAAAAAACCCAAATTCTAGATTTTTATTGTACCAGTAATAGCATTGCAATGGGGGTTTTTTTCTCTGCAAACCATGTTTGCAGGTTTTATACAAGAAATGCTTTCAACAAACCTGGGACCTAGACAAAAATGGAAGCCAGGTTCTAGTCTGTTGTAGGTATAAGAAAATACTTCTCTTTATGCATAACAAGATATTCCTACTGGTGGTCACTGCCATTAGAGTTATATGACTGCTACATAACCCCAGGGTCTTAATCAGATACAGTGTGGGTTGCAGTGTTAAAATTGGTGCATATCAGTTTTTATTCTGTAAAGAAAGCTTTCAGAAATAGTGGTAAGTTTATTTTTCCACAACAAAAATGAGTAAAAGTAAACAAAAGAGAGAAAACCGAAATCTTTTTTTCAAGATTGCTTTTTGCCTTCAAAAACCACATTTCTTCTAGGTACACTTGCACACAATTTTGGAAGGCACTCAGCAGGTAGGCTGTTCCAGGCATCTTGAAGAGCTAACCAGCTCTTCTGTGGACATAGGCTCTCTCAAATCCTTCTGTCTCTTCATGTAATTCCAGACAGACTATGTTGAAATCAGGGCTCTGTCTAGGACTCCTTGTTCTTAAAGCTGTTCTCCAATCTCCCACCCCAAAATACACGGTAGCTGCTGACATATGGATACTTGCCTGTCCAGGGATTCAGCACTGTCTTCACCCAAGCCAATTCTTCAATAGGCTTCAGGTCCACACCCCAGCTTTGCAGCTTCACATCTTTCCCGCAGAGCTTTGTGAATGGTCCCCCAGTCTCCTGGGACCTGTGATGCATCCCAAAAGGCTGCGAGGAAAGGCCGTTGATGAACTTCTGCTCAGATCGTGGAGGTGATCTGACCGGAAGTGGGAGCAGGTACCTGTCAAAACCGGTACCCACTCCCCCCCGCAAAACATTACAATTCTTAGAGGATGGGGGTGCTGCAGACAAACGGAACTTCCTTTTGTGAAGTTCCACTTCAATGACATTGGCTATATGTTTTTAGGGTCCTGCTGCACAATAAATCTGGGACCAATCACACATCTCCATGATGGTATGGCATGGCGAAGGATCCCCAAGCTGCCCCACAATTGCAAGGAACCTCCACCATGCTTCACTGTTGCCTGCAATGAGACACTTATTGTAACACTCTCCACCCTTTGTGAACAAGCTGCCTCCAGCTCAGCCAAGTATTTCTAATTTGACTGAGTTCAGAGAACCTGCTGCCAGTTCCTATGTTTTTATGTATAGTTGGGTCACTTAGCCTTGTTCCCACATTGGCAGTATAGCTTTCTGGCCAGGATTCTTCTATGAAGACCACTTCTATCCAGACTTCTCCAGACAGTAAATGGGTAAATCTGGGCCTTACTGGTTTGTGCTGATGGTACTGCTGGACATCTTCGCTGTTGAAAGGAAGCATGTGTCTTCTGCTGCCTCAAGTTTCCTTGGCCAACCACTGCATCTACAGTCTTCAATGTTGCCTAATCAATGGTGGTGACCTCAATGCTGAAAAATACAGGCAGATAATTGTCTAACATGCCATACCATAAGGGAGGCGTGCGATTGGCCCCAATTTTATTCTTCAGCAGGACAATGACCCCAAAACATACAATCAATATCATTAAGAACCATCTTCAGCGTAAAGGAGTGCTAAAAAGGGATGGTTTAGCCCCCACTGAGCCCTGATCTCAACAGAGTATCTGGGACTACATGGAGGCAGAAGGATTTGAGGCAACCTACATCCACAGAAGATCTGGGGTTAGTTCTCCAAGATGTTTGAACAACCTGCTGAGTTCCTTCAAAAAACTGCAAGCAAGTGTACCTGGAAGAAATGATGCAGTTTTGAAGGCAAAGGGTAGTCACACAAAATATGGATTTTATTTGCATTTCTCTTCTGTTAAAAAAATAAAAATTAACAAAATGAGAACAAAACAAAAACAAAAACCAACACACCATAAACTATTAAACACTTCTATTTTGGAAAGCGCTTAATTCACAGCATATTTTCAAACCTGTCTGAAACATTTGCACCTCACTGTATGTCCATAGAAAGATCTACCAGGTCTTGTGTTAAGTTTTGATTATTTTGTCAATAAAGTATTGAGAGCCATTGCATTGTGCCTTCCTTCAGTATGCACTCTAATCAGCTGAATACTTTGTATCGGGTAATGCATTCACATACATTTGCTTATGGGTATGTATAAAGATATATGTATGGACATGTGTATGCATTTGTACTATTAAGAGGACAGTTTTTTTGATTATATCTTGAAGCTGCACTGTGGAAAAAGCAGTGTGATAATATATCTACACTCTGTTGTAGTACAGAGGGAGAGTGCTGCAATCATGAGAATCTTCCTATGGGAAGTAAAGACTACAGAGGCTAGATTGGATTGTGAAGAGATTTATTGAATTGCTACTACTTGACAGTTTGGGAAGCGCTGGGTTTTCTATAAGTTTGATTGGAATGCAGCCAGCAAATACACTATCCCAAGCATTACTGAGGAACAGCACAAATCACCATAGTTTTTTTTAAACGATCGCTTTAATAGCAATCCTCATCTTACAGGAAAAAAAAATAGCCATTTTCCAATACATTTGGGTACTTGCCATTTACATTGTGCTGTGTAAAGTGAGTTCATAATGTATGGAAAAAAAAAAAAAAAAAAAAAACATTTAAAACCAAAATCTAGTTCTGCAATCAAAGAGAAGGCACACCACTACACCAAAATAGATTTCCAGAGCCTTCCGGGAAGGCAAGGAGTGGTAAAACTTACCAGCAATGTTCCCAAGTGCCCAAACTGCTTGTTCACTTATTTGCGCATGTGGGGATGAGATCAGAGATATAAAGGATGGAATAGCATTCGCATCTACCACAGCTTTAGTCTGGTCTGAGGTGCCAGATGCAATATTAGTAAGAGCCCAAGCTGCTTCAAACTGCAAGACGCTGTTATCATGATAACTCAGGAACTCCACCAGCTTTGGTATAAGTCCAGCCTCAATTATATCATTTAGGGGAGGATTCCGCTCACGAGACAACATTTTCCTGCAAGTCGAAATATGAAGTTAGACACTAGACAGACATTCTTCTAGCACTAATTTTTATCCCTCTTAAGCAGGCCATAGACTATGCCTTTTTCTTTCCTGCAACACAGTCAGATAGTGGAATCCCTCCCACAAAAGGTATTGTGTTCTCCTGGTTGGTGGGGGGGAAGCCGTCCCTGCTGGGAGAACACACTATTGCTAGCATGAATATAAAAACAATTCAATAAAAAAAAATTTCACATGAGAAAATCTGTACCCAAGCCATTCTGTTAAATTGAGTACAATCAGCCAGACCATAGATTGTTAAAGTCTCCTCCTGCTAAACTGGCCGAGATTCAAACCATCAAATGATCGGCTTCAATATCCATCACCCACACCACACATTGTCAAGGAAAAAAAAAAAAAAAAAAAACCTGCCAAACTGACGACCAACTGCTACTAGTCCTGACAAACTAAATTTTTATATACTCTCCCCCCCCCCCCCCCCCCCCAAAAAAAAAAAAAAAAAAAAAAAAAAAAAAAAGGCCTTTTCAGCAACCCTTTCAACACTTACCTAGTAGCCTTGCGTGCACTTCAGCTCAAGCTCTGAATCTCCAGAATGAATACTTTTAATTATCTCTTCCAAAGATAGTGGAGGACCCTGAAAGGTAAAATGCATTTCAGTTTTTGTTTTGGAATTAGGCCATGTCCCTTTAACTAGTCCGCAGTGGCTTAGGAGGTACTAAAAGGGAAAAAAAAAAAAACCACTGCATTACTGTCAGTAAACTTAATGACCAACTCCAGACTTTGCACTCAGATTATAGAGGGTGGCCTCCACTGCTCCTCAGGATTGCTACAGTGTCTGCTACAGGTGTAGAGACACTACTTTGCCCCTTTCATGATGTAGAGTACTTTTTCTAAAAATACCCCAAATAGACTTATTTACAATAGATGCGCTTCAGCCCCATTCTAAAACCAGCATGCTTTAGAATTGAAGGGCTGCAAAGTCCAGTTTGGAAGAGATTACAAGTGCCCGAGTCTAGAAAACCTCTAATGCTATACTTGACTCTTTTGGGGCAATATTGACAAGACCAAACTTTCCTTTAGTGCCACACGGGGAAAACAGTCAGGAAGCTATTCAGAACAAAATGTGAGCATGTGCTGAGAAGACAGAACACAAAAAAAAAAAAAAAAGTGCATGTGCCAAGAAAATGACCTGGCATAGTTGCAAATATTATACATGTTGTGCAATTTGCAGAGAAATGCATGTATGCGCACGTGTGTTAGCACTGGCACATGTTCACTTACACCTGCTGCCAGAACTGGCACCAAACGCCCTATATAAGCACAATGGCTGCACTGAGTTTTATGGATGATCTTCAGCTACCAATACCCCTTGTTCCTCTGTATCCTATATTCTATGGACCTCCCATTATGGACCCAGCTCATCTCTGGACCTTCCTGCTACCCGACTCCTGGCTAGCGCTAAAGAACCCTGCCTCTCCTACCCAACTGTAGGTCTCCAGCCTGTTGTCCTACTATTCTGCCATCTCCATCTGATTCATTTGTAGGACCTTGGCTGTTTGACTATGCTCAAGGTTGCTCTGGCTTGCCTGTGTATGACCTCTGCTTCCGAAAGTTCTGTGAATGAACTACAAGTCCCAACTGCCACCATGGCACACACTTAGTCTGAATGAGTTGCAAGCATGCCGATTGGCGTGCTCTTAGTTCATTCTCTCTAGCTTTGTAAGAGCCCTATGGGGATACAGGCACAAAGAGGATTGTAGGAGCCTGAGAAAAAAAAAAAAAAAAAAAAAAAAAAAAAAAAAAAACGCACCTATGATCTGCTGATAGAGCTTGAGAAAAGCAAATTGCTTCTTCAACTGTAGGCAGATATTTGAGCCAGTCTATGTAGTTTTCCACAAATTCAGATGCAAAATTGTCAACTTCTTGGAGAGACTTAAAATCGCTGACAGTTGTGATACCATCAGAACTTGAAGTGTCTGGTTTCTCAAAATGATAAACAGTGGAACATTAACTGAATGTCGGCCATAACTTGCTTGCTTGACTTGGAGCAAAATGCCTACATAAATGAACACTTGAGTCAAAGAGCATTCTGGTCTAGCTTCGGAGGGTGTATGCACCAAAGCATTGGCGGCACCTTTTCTTTGAGAGCACATGATCTCTTCAAGAGAAAGTCACTGAGCGCTTAAAAAACTTTGGAAAATTAGCTCTTTGCCAGATATTTTTGGGAAGGTTTGCATCAAGCATCTTCAATGGCTTGTGAGCTGCTGAAGCTGTGCTCAAGTCTATCCCAGCAGAGTTGAGGCCTGTGGCAAGGTTGTCAATGTAAACAGCATTAAGCCTTGATCCGTTCTGGGTCCTTAATCAGTTGATCTAGTACTGCTGTAGTTCACCAATAGCAGCTTTGAAGGGGTTTCTAGCCTCTAGTTTGAAGGTTTATTAAACTGAGAGACCCTCTTGGTGAACTGCTCGTGAAGCATGCATTTAGGCAACTGACAGGTCTGTTTTTGGACTTAGAACAGATCTTGTGCCACATGCAACTGTACATTCAATCGACTGGTATGCAAAGATTGAGGGACCCTGGAGAGAAATGGTAGTGCAAAGGCATGCATACCCAATACTGGCTTAGAGTTTGTGTTGTGTTGAAGCTGTGGAGAAGTATAGGGTGTCCTGTGAAAAACCCAAAAATAAGGACCAAGCCATTGCTTGAACTCTTAAGGTGCCGAGTGCCACCCCTTTTCTACTCCATCCTGGAGGAACTCCAGTACTGAAGGTACAGAAGGGAGAGTGACTTGCCTCTGCCTACACAAAACCTTTGCATAATTTCCTGGTTATCTACTTTAAAGGAGTGCATCAATGACTCTGAACAACCCCTCTTCTGTAAAAAAGTTGTTGCTCAAGAACAAGCCTGTCTACTAAAAACTCTGGCATGACAAACTGGACCCTGAAGCAACAGATCTGGTCTGTTTGGAAGCTGCTTCAGTGTAAGGACAGACATTTTAGAGTAGAGAACCACTTTCTTCAGCCACCATGGAGTGGACTGACACTTAATTTCTGCAGCACACAAGGGATAAAGGTTAGAAAGGGAAAGGCATAAGCCAAACTGAAGTCTCAGCCCTGGGCCAGGGAATCAAAGCCCCAGGATGCTGACTGTTTGACAGAAGGAAAAAAAAAAAAAAAAAAAAAAAAAAAAAAAAAACACCACACAAGTGCACGCGCACACACTTTCCTGGTTTGGCTCACCATTCTCAATGGATGGGCTTTCAACTCAAGATCTTCCTTGATGCTTGAAGAGTACTTTATGTGGATTGCAAAAATGGAGCATACCCTGTCCTCTGCCCAGTGTAAAAACTCCTGAGACAATCTTAGGAGTTCAAAAGGAGCTGGTGTTGCCTTGGCAATTTATATAGGCGATAGTTGCATTGTTGGAGAGACCCTATACCTCTCATCCCCACATCTCCTGTTTGAAGCTCATAAGGACTCCTGAGAGTTACTTGAAATTGGAGGAGGCCCATCTCAGTCCAGGGACAAGACCCCTGAATGCACAGATATGCCCATTCCTCCCCCCTACTGGTGGGCACCCCTCCCCCAGAATCTGGCATCTGGTCACTTTTACGGGATCCCACTCAACCCAAGGCTTGCCTTCTTTCAACCTCAGTGGATCCATCCACCAAGCTAAAGAAGCTTTCACTGAAGGAGGGAGATTGACCATCATATCCAATAAAGCTTTTTTGCTCCCAAGAAAAAAAAAAAAAAAAAAAAAAAAAAAAAAAGAATAGAAAAATATTATGAAGGTTCTCCTCTTGGATGTAACTGAGGACTACAGTTATCCATCCAGATACACAAAAGAAAAAAAAGTTTAACAGTGAAATCTGCATCTCTTCTGCAATGGAGGAGTCAGATTTGAATCTTCGTAATGGTCTACAGTGTTTGAAAAACTGAAGACCATCTACCACAGAGTGGTCTTGATTGTGTTTGAACACTATGCAGGGAATATGTTGAAGATGCTGCAAAAGAATAATAAAAAAAAAAAAAAAAAAAAAACAAAACCTGGTAAATAATTGTGTTACAGTGATTGAAAAAAACGTAAAAAAAGACTGTCACGAAGATTCAAATCTGACTAATGGATTGCAGAAGAGATGAAGATAGCACACTATGTTTAACTCTCCATTTCTCTTGTATATCTGATGGCTGACTGTATATGAGCCTGGTTATACAGAGACATTCACAGTCCCAGGTGTGCCATACCAGAGTTATTTTGGAGGAGACCTCCACAGGATCTCTGTACCAAAGTGCTCCATGACCTTACCAAATAGACATGATCTTCTAATTGTGTAAGTGTGTATGGTGTCTGGTGGAGGGCCGTCATATCTTCCTAGGAAATGGTCAGCTCACCCAAGGAAGTGGTTTATTTTCTGCTGAGATTTCAGACACTTGTCCTTTAAAAGTTGGATATTTTACACATTGGAACCATTATCCCCTGTTTGAGCACAGTTTTCTTTAATAGACAAAGTGAAAAAACATAGGAGCGCAGCACATGTTATTTCAGCATGCACTGCATGCAAGAGACCTTTTCATGCCTTCAGACAAAAACAGGTCATCTAGTTGGCTTTGCTTCCTCACGCACCCAACTTTGTCAAGCTCCTCCCTTTCTAAAGAGCTACAGTACTGCACAAGTTTTAGGCAGGTGTGAAAAACATAATATAATTGGCACTTTATACATACACATTTTCTCACTTTGCTGGAATTTTTTTGTAGTTTGGCTGAGCACTTTATTTATACAACATCTTGGGAGAAAAATCTTCTGTGAATGTAGGCTGCCTCAAATCCTTCTGTCTCTTCACATAATCCCCCGACAGACTCCATGAGATCAGGGCTCTGTGGGGTTCAAACCATCAATTCCAAGACTTGTTCTTTACACTGAAGATTGACCCCCAAATATACAGCCAATATTAAGAACTTTGTCCTGCTGCAGAATAAATTTGGGGCCAATCACATGCCTCGCTAAGGGTATGGCATGATTGATAAGTCTTTTCACTGTTGCCTGCAGAAATTCTGTTCTGGCTGGAGAGCCATACAGTGAGCATCTGAATGCAGACGTGAAGCACTGTGGAGGCTCCTTGCAAATTTGGGCTGCATTTCTGCAAATTAGTTGGAGATTTGGTCAGGATCAATGGTGTTCACTGCTTAGAAAAGCAGGCAGATGCTTAACCATGCCTTCAAAGGAGATGTGCAATTAGCCCCAAATTAAGTCTGCAGCAGGACAACGAAACCAAACATGCAGCCAATGTCATCAAAAACTATTTTCAGTGTAAAGAAAAAAAAAAAGTCCTTGAAGTGATTGTTTGGCCCCCATGCCCTGATCTCAGTGTCTGAGATTACATTAGGACAGACTGATTTGAGGCAGCCTACATCCATAGTGTCCCTCACTACAGGGGGTCATTGTACCACCCCTACCCCCTTGTGGTACTGTGCCAATAGGTTGTACTACCTTCTAGGTATGAACAGGTTAGTTCTGTCCTACAAGATTTCCACCACAATGCAGTGAAGTTTTTCTAAGGGTATTTCGTCCTTTAGACTTTAGTTATATCACATCAATGTGGAGTTTCATGGTAGATTACATTC